GAAACCCCGTCTCTAATAAAAATACAAACATTTGCTGGGTGTGGTGGTGTGTGCCTGTAGTCCCAGCTACTCTGGACGCTGAGGCAGGCTAATCGCTTGAACCTGGGAGGCGGAGGTTGCAGTGAGCCGAGATCACGCCACTGTACTCCAGGCTGGGCCACAGAACAAGACTCTGTCTCAAAAAAAAAGAAAAAGTTTTTATTTATTTAAATTTTTACTTTAACAAAGGAATGTGTATAGTTTTAAACGCCAACTAGTTCAACAAATTTTTGGGGGGTGGTGGGGCATTTTCAAGTGAAAACCGGAAAACCCGCTAAACAAATTCTGAAAGCTGTAACTTCAGTGGACGCGGTGGCTCACGACTGTAATAGCAGCACTTTGTGGGGGCTGAGGTGAATTGCTTGAGCCCAGGATTTTGAGACCAGCCTGGGCAACATAGGGAGATCCCGTCTACGTACACACACACACACACACACACACACACACACACACGCACATACACAGTAGCTGGGTGTGGTGGCCCACTTCTGTAGTCCTTGCTGCTCCAGAGTCTGAGGTGGGAGGATAGCTTGAGTCCAGGAGGTCGAGGCTGCAGTAAACGGTGTTCTCACCACTGCTCACCACCCTGGGCAACAGAGCAAGACCTTGTCTCAAAAAAAGAAAAAGAATAGGAAAAAAAAAAAAAAAGAGTTGTAACTCTACAAGGCTTTTAATGAAAAATAACCATCCCCTGCTCCTCTTCTCTAACCCTTACATATACAACCTACATATACAACTATGCTCCAGTTTCTATGCTACTTCTTCTGGTACTTACCTCTACATTTCTTCAACAACCCTCCGGCCTAGGCCTCCCAAAGTTCTGGGATCACAGCTCCACTGTGCCTGGCTCCAATTTTTAGTTAAATCAATACTTAGTGTTTACACTGTTATGGCTGTGAAAATTTTCTTCACAGCTGAGCCATGTGTGTTTGTGCTAAGACTGTGAATCTGTAAAAACTGCTTTTGTTAATTAACATCAAAGACATAAGGCTGAGAAACTTCATTTTCTAAAATCATAGTCACAAACTTTGCTGTCTGAAATCAGTCAGTGCGAATGGAACATCTTACTCTTGCTAGAAGTTCTGAGCCATGTGGATTACTTTGGCCTCTCGAAGTGTTGGGATTACAGGCATGAGCCACTGTGCCCAGTCTAGATAGTGGGTTTTTGGACACTATATTCTACATTTATCTTAACTTTGTAATTTCCAAGTGGTCCCTCAGCTTGGACTACTTCTTGACCCCTTCACTTAAAGTTATGCTTACCTCGAACCTATGAAAACAGTGCTTCATTTAACTTTTAGCTAGCCTATAGTATCAGCTACTTGGGAGGCTGAGGCAGGAGGATCACTTGAGTCCAGGAGTTTGAGCCCAGCCTGGGCAACATAGTGAGACTTCAACTCTAAATGAATAAGTAAATAAATTTTAAAATATAAATTTTAAAGTCAAGCATTTCCAGTATCCTGTTGTATTAGTTCATATTCACATTACTGATAAAGACATACCCGAAACTGCAAACAAAAAGAGGTTTAATTGGACTTACAGTTCCACATGGCTGGGGAGGTCTCAGAATCATGGTGGGAGGCAAAAGGCACTTCTTACATGGTGGCAGCAAGAGAAAAATGAGGAAGAAGCAAAAGCAGAAACCCCGATAAACTCATCAGATCTTGTGAGACTTATTCACTATCATGAAAATAGCATGTGAAAGAGTGGCCCCCATTGGCCGGGCGCGATGGCTCACGCCTGTAATCCCAGCACTTTGGGAGGCTGAGGCAGGTGGATCACGAGGTCAGGAGATCGAGACCATCCTGGCTAACATGGTGAAACCTCGTCTCTACTAACAATACAAAAAATTAGCCGGGCGCGGTGGCGGGCGCCTGTAGTCCCAGCTACTCTGGAGGCTGAGGCAGGAGAATGGCGTGAACCCGGGAGGCGGAGGTTGCAGTAAGCGGAGATCGTACCACTGCACTCTAGCCTGGGCGACACAGCGAGACTCTGCCTCAAAAAAAAAAAAAAAAAAAAGTAAAACTCCCTGCATTCTCTCTATTGTTCCTGATTAAAAAAAAAAAAAAAAAAAAAAGAGTGGCCCCCATGATTCAATTATCTCCCCTTGGGTCCCTCCCACAACAAGTGGGAATTCTGGGAGATACTTATCAACTTGAAATTTGGGTGGGGACACAGCCAAACCATATCACCCGTAATGACCATATTTCTTCCTTTTTAATGAATTGCCCCACAGTTCCTCTAGTGTGTTCTCTCTGTTGCAGCAAGTTAATAAACCTAACTGTCAAACTACAGATGTGGTCTTTATAAGACAGGCTTTTATCAATTGTCTTTCCTTTCTTTTATAACTCTTTGTTTCCTCTGAAGTTGACAATTGCCTAACCTTTTCTCTTACTTAGTTCTCTCTCTCTCTTTCTCTTTCTCTGTATAATAAATTCACCCCCAAAAATGTTCGAAAGAATTATACTCCTTCTTTCAGTGCCTTCACCACCTCACGTAATTCTTCCGATCTTTCTTTTCTTTTCTTTCTTTTCTTTTTTTTTTTTTTTTAACACAGCCTCCTGGAGCCCTTCTTCCTCTGGCTCCAAGTTATATTCGTTGTTGTCCTTGTAAAAATATAACTACCTCTGTTCTAACAATAATCTCAAGCCTTCATGGTTAGTTGTCAATGCAACTGTTTCCCTGACTCCTGCTTTCCCCCTCCATCCAAAGAGGGGTCGAGTCTCGTGATATCTCTGTATCTCCAAAGTCTATCATGGTAATCAGTAAATGTTCTGGCTGGGCGCGGTGGCTCATGCCTGTAATCCCAGCACTTTGGGAGGCTGAGGTGGGCAGATCACTTGAGGTCAG